GCCTGAAAACCTCCTCCTCCCAGCGGTCCAAAGCTCCTTTGCTAGTGTTGTAAACACCATCCCTCCTTGGTGCTCCGAGCTCCCAGTCAGCTAAATAGCTAACGACAACTACAGTCGTATAGAAAGAACAGCAGATGGTCTGTTTGAATCCATGTCAGTTCCAATGGATTCCGAATGATTACAACTTTTCCTTCCTGCAACACATTCCACTAATCTGCTCCATCCATATACTCAATATGACCCAGTCGGAGTTTCACTAAAATAGCTGAGTACACTGTTGCTTTTGGAGTTTGGAGACTTGATGAGGGTGACGAAGCTAGAAACACCAAGACAAAATGAATCCTCATGAAGAAAGGATCAGTTCCTTGTCAAAAACATTGGACATCATGTTGTACATTTGGAAATGAAACCCTGGTTGTGGGTGCATGTTGTGTTGCTGTTGATGGTGACAGACTTGTGATTGATTTGCAGGCTGTTTGGACACAGTGGAGCCTGCAGTGCATGTGGACAGTCTATACCTGCCAGTGAGATGGTGATGCGAGCGCAAGGCAACGTTTACCACCTTAAGGTGAGAATGACAACATCATGCTGTTCTCAGTGAACTCAGCTTGAAAATAATTGATACATAGTTAAAGATGCCGCTCTCTCTCTTCCCCTAGTGTTTTACCTGTGCCACCTGCAGGAACCGCCTGGTCCCTGGAGACCGCTTTCACTACATCAATGGGACGATCTTCTGCGAACATGACCGGCCGGGAGGAGGTCTGCTCAGTGGACATACGACTCCACTGCAGCCTAACAGCATGATGTCTGACCAGAAGGTGAGAGGCCATGTAATGCTGAACTAGGGGTTGGGAATCTCTCTCTGTGGTAAAAAAAAGAAAAAATCTGAACTTGCTAACACTTGCATACAGTAATTTTCCCCTGTAAATAGTATGTAATTCATAATTACATTCATTATTTAAGCATACTAACCTAATGATAACCCTTATTGGGAACCATGAGAAAGTTTCAGAGACACAGAGCTGAGAGCCTGTGAAAAGTTAAAAACCAAAACTAAGCTAACGTCAACCAAGAGTGAAAACGCCCCATTATCTGCTGCAGGGGTGACCTCACGTTAGTCTCGCTCTCTCTATTTCTCTCTTTACTCTCTCACCCAGATGTGCTGTCAGGAACTGAAATGTGGCATTGATTTATTTATTGTGAATCGGTACTCAGTTGTACTGATGTAATTCAGTCGGTACCCTTAAAAGTACCGAGTTCAGCACCCAACCCTTTGCTGAACCTGGTGCAACATCTCAGCAAATAAGGCTTTTGTTCTCTTTAACACAAAACTGAGGAAGTAAACAGACAAAATGAGGAAGGTTTGAAAACGACAGGTGGTGTGGCAACGCACTTATGGTGTGAAAAGCAAAGGTGTTACCAGTATCATTTCAAACCTCTTCTCTCCACTGTTTCCAGGTCTGCTGAGGTAGAAGATGGAAAACCAAATGTGTGCCTTCTCCCCCACCTTTTCTCCTCTGTCTCTTCTTCACCCTCCTCCTCCTCCTGTAAATCCTGCCATTGGTTGAGCGCCCTCCATTCTGATGGACAATCTGGATGTAGTCATTACTGCTGCCGGTCCAGTGCTCTGGATGCTGAGGATGGTTGGAATTTATTTATACAGTAGACTGTTGTCTGTTGTAAACTCTGGCAATATTACTGATGAGAACTGGCATGGCTAACGGTGGCAAAGGAAGACTGTCCTGGAATCATCCCATATGTGTAATTCCAGCGGAATCATCTATTACCTTTACCCGGCCCGCCAGTGACAGCGGGCATTGAATAAGGGGGGAACACTGACCGTGACACAGACTACATATGCAATGTGACCATCTTTTGGATTGACATGAATATAAATATGGATCTCCTGAGTCATGATTTCAGCCACTAGATGTTTTCTTCCACACCCAAGAGACAGCTGAACTAGAAAACATCTATATTGATACTTAGACTATTTTTCTGTGTGGTTCTCTGTGAAATATTCAACAAACACGTTAGTCTCCAGATTGTTTTTTACCAGTGTGTTGGGGGAAGTGATAGTCGCCCTCTGGTGGTAGCATTCCTACCACAGACAGAAGTAGCTTGAATTCTCCAATTGTACAAAACTGATATCTCAGGCTACATTGCAGTAATAAAAGACCATACTGGTGTGTTTTTTCCTGTTTTAGCCCATTAACTACAAGTTATGTACGCCATAAATTCTCAAATAGTGGCCAGGGTCTTTATTCACCACAGTGACAGAGAATGATGCCTTTATTAGAGACAGGCCTCTATCTCTAATTTCCCCAGACTTCCTCCAGCTTTACATTTTGTCTAGATAAATTCAGCATTATGTCCATTTTTTTACAGCACACGTTATACACGTTTATACAGCAAACATCCACTCTGCCTGTTTCCCCAAACAAGCTACAGTACCACAACTGCGTTTCATTAGTAGTTCCACATTCCCACATTTACTCACCCTCAGCTCTTGGTATTACATAACAGCATATATTACATGAAGGGCACTTTTCATCCTCATGGTTTTCATAAGGACGAGCCCATTAACTCAGACCCATTGACATTGATGTGTAATCTGAAATGGTGATTAATGTGCATTATCTTGGTAAACAAATAAAATAACTTACTAATAGCTTACGTTATATCAACCATTGCACCAAATGCACAACTGCAATGCATTGTAGGTGATATACACATCTCTGAGGCTGTTCACACAAATGGAACAACTTTTGATGTCGGCAGCGGGAATGTTGAACAACTACTGAAACGCAGCAAGCACATGAATAAAATTCAACTCTTCCTCTAGACTTTTAATGTGGAAAGTCTGGTGGCCTTCCCTTTACAGGCAGGCTTTTACCATGAAGCAACTTCAGGGTCGAGTTGTTGGCGGTCCCTCGACCTCGATTGGGATTATGGCGAAGAAAAGACAACTGTAAATAATGAGCTTAGAGCACAATGAAGTGAATGGAAACAGTATTTGTACTGTGAACAAAGAGAAACTCACAGTGCAGAGTGGTGAGGATACCTGCAACACTAATGACATTCCCTTCAGCATGGTTTATTACAATTGGGATTTAACTTTTGTAGTTTGGCTGTCGGTTCTGTCGGTTATGGTAACATTGTACTCATTGGCTGATCTCAGAACACAGCCACATCACTAAAAATAGTTTCAAGAAGGGCAGGAAACACGAGCAGTCAGACAATAACCTCCAGCTTAGCTGAAACTGGAAGAGAAAATGAAGGTGAATGGTTACATTTTCACCCAACCTGTAAACATCCATCACAGTATACAGTGTAGTTGTGTACACATGGCTCGCATGTGCAGTGAAGGGTTATTTAAGACACTAGTTTCATCCATATATAAATCTACTTCACCACAGCTGCTCAGTAGTGGTCAACCGATATGGGTTTTCATTGGCTGATGCTGATATTTAGAGAGAAGGGAGACCGATGGCTGTATATATAATACCAATATCAAAACAAAGAAAAGTCATGTATAAATCTATTATTCCATTAATATACTTGGTTATCAAACTGTGCTGTCTTAGATGGAACAATGATGGTGACTGGAGATTTAGGCAATCGCTTGGATGTATGAGAGTCCGGAGCTCCAAACTAACACCGCTCCACACTGATGAGGCTGCCTGCAGATGTGTCAGCAGACATTTTTCGGCCTTGTGAATGCAGACATTGGCCGATAATCTCAAAATGCCAGATAATCGGCCCGAACTTATAGTTAATGCGCTTTTACAGGAAAATCCACCAGCACAGTCTTTTAAAGCAGAGATGCCACTTACACTTTGATTTAAGTCTGCCGTTATTGGTTCTAAATATCTGTTTGAAGAAATGAAAGTCTTTCTTTCTCCTTTGTATTTCATTGCTTTATATTCCCCAAAATGCTTGTGATTTCAATAACTAAGCCGTTCTGGATTTATAATCACTTCTACACAGTGACAGAGATACACAAGGATTCTTGACTGTGGTAGGAGCCCAGCTACAGCACTACAGGGCCAAGAAGATCAGTGCTCTGCCTCCATAATAATCTTTACGCTTCATCATGATGCCAGTGACGTATACTGTACATTCTAAATGTTTATTGCAGTAACGGTTTCTACAGTGTAAACTGATCTGTTCATATCTAATGAACGTTCGAAGGAAGATATGTTCAAAGTGCACTAATATCCTGTTGTGTTGTGTGCTACAGTGTATGAATCATGTTTTCTGTGTTGCATTTTTTTATATGTGAGTTTTATTGCTGTATGGAACGAGAACAAGTCCTCTCAGAAGAACTAATAATAATTTAGCCATTCAGCTCACATGTGATGAGGGTGTGATTGTGTCGAGGATGATTTGGCTAAAGCTACAGTTGAGCGTGTAGCGACGAGCTTCTTCTGACTGAGTAAGAAGTAAGAAACGCTTGCGGTTCTCAGACAAACATGGCTGATTACCCACAGGAATGGGATTTCAAAGGCCTGAGCCGAGGCCATTACAGAAGCAATTAAAGTGGGATGCGCTGGAGGCCTGCATGGGCTTTAGCTGCGCTCCAGTGTTGCAGCCTAATGAGGCCTAATCTGGTGAGCTGGTCTAATTAAAAGGCAGGGAGCTTTTTCCTGTGGGCACCAGGCAGCCAGCAGTTTGTGCTCTCCGTAGCTGTCTGAGGGGAAAAAGCAAAGTCAGAATATGCAGCATTGTTTTCAACCATAAAAAGTTTCATATTCCTCTATTCTCTGTCCGTTCAAATTAAAACATTTAACTTGACATTTTTAACATGTTTGCTGGTCTCTAATCTTTCCAACGTCTCCGCTCTGGTTTGTCATGATTGCTTTTTGGCACGAAATGCGCCTTTTTTAAATGAGCCGTTTTTATATGTACATTTGGCGTGGAAACTACAAGATCATCTCTTCCATGCTAATTTTAGGATCACTCCTTTCCCATATTGTTTGTGTGGCTTTCTGCAGAGCCGAATTAAAGGCTGAGCCGAGGCACGCAGGACGGGCCGAGGCGTACATGAGTAGCCAGCTGTGACTCTTCAAATTAACAGGCCCGGAGAACTCGGCGGCTCCTCTCGCAGGGTTAGTCCAATTAGCTTCACATTCACAGCAACAATGGGGCTCTTTAATGGTAGTGTTTCAAAGTGCTCTTTCATAATGATGAAGGGTGAACGCATTCCTCTGGTTTTTCAGTCAGGACTCCAATCCTGAGTCACACCAATTTTCCTCTGTGTCAACTTTAATGCTTTTGTTTTGTCTCGGTTGTTGCTTCAGATCACTATGAGGAGATTGTAGAGTAAATAATGACAACACAGTCAGCTTAGTGTTCAGCTCAAGTAAAGGGTCGATTCACTCAAATCTCACCAGTGGTATGTAGCTATACAGTTTTCTTTTAATTATAATAAATAATAATTGAAGGGTTTTTTTGTCAGAGGTTTTATCTATACCTATTTCTACTAAAGAAATAGTTGCTTTAAAAGACCCTATCTACAGCCAGTGTTTTGTTTTATTGTTCTAAGGTAACAAAAACATGGCTGACTCCACCAGTAGAGAACTGTATTCTCACTGGAACACATTGCCCATGATTTGTAATGATTTTCATAAAACTAAACAAATTAAAAACTATATTCGCAATTTTTACATTCAATTTCCTTGTTAAAATGCATCACAATGTCTGCCATGAAAAAAAGTTTTGTACTAGCTGTAATTGGTCTTCTAGACTTCATGGCTACAGCCCTGCTGTGCAATACTTTGGTTTATGATAAAATACCAGCAGAACTAATGACATACCATATCTTTTTATATCTAAATTAAAGATTCATAAGCAGATAAAAACAAGATCGACAGTATCAGTAATGTCACTGAAAGAGAAATCACTAACAGAACTTACTCAGGTCATACAGCACTTCTTGGTTGCACAGACAAAAAGTATATTAAAAATGGTCTAAAACTGAAAGTAAATATGTAAAGACCACCAAAGAAAGAAAGAAAATTCCTCAAAACTGCAAACACGTCTCCAAAATTCATCACATTCAGACATTTCAATATATACGCAAAAAGGACATGCTGTAGGACATGAGTTGCAATTAATGGAGTAAGATATGCACAAATATATACTGTATTCACTGATGGATAGCGTTTTTAGAAGTGACGGCATTCCCATCAGCCTCAGCTGTACTTTGTGTTTAGTGCTAATTTGCATGTTAACCAAATGTCAGCATGCTAACACGCTAAACTAAGATGAAGACCATGGTAAACAAATGCCAAACATAACACATCAACACCTTCATAGTCAGCATGTTAGCATGGTGATATTTCTCTTCTGTGCCTCATACAGCTGTTTGATCTGTCCATTCGTTGTGCATTAGAGCCTGTAGCACAGCTGAAACTTCCTCATTAAAGGTGCACTGTGTAACATTTAGGAGGATCATATAATGTTCATAGTATGTTTTCATCAGTGTATAATCCCCTAATAATAAGAATTGTTGTGTTTTTGTTACCTCAGAATGACGGGTTCACCATGTTGAACTGCCATGTTTCTACAGTAGCCCAGAATGGACCAACCAAACACTGGCTCTAAATAGGGCCTTTCATATTTTTTCAAGAGGTTCAGGGCCACCGTAGTTTCTCCTGCACACTTAAAAGACTGAGCTTTATTAAAATTGTCGCAGTCTGCAACTTCACCATTAGATGCCACAAAATCTAACACACTGGTCATTTAAAAGACTGTGAAAGCCCCACAAACAAATACACATGGATAACTCTGTTAACGTTAAAAAATACGTTTCTGAGCTGGTAAAATACCAGTGCATAGGATTTAGTGGCAAGTTGCAGATTGCAAACTACTGAACAACGCTCACGCCTCTATTTGACAGCCTGGGAATGAGAACAGGCTGTGAAGTGTATTGGGGAAACTACGGTGGCCTCAAAACTTGAAAGACCTTGTCTACATCCAGTGTTTAGTTTGTCTGTTCTGGGCTAATGTAGAAATATAGTGATTCAACATGGCGGACTCCAGCTATATAGATGAAAATGGCTCATTCAAAATGTGATTCAGGGTTTCCACCTCTAGGGGTAGTAGACAAAAGAATGAATTTCCAAATTCATGTGCAAACTTATGCACGTGAATTTGTACATGAATGCTTTGTTGTACAGACGTGTAAAACCAAAACAAGCTGAAAAAAGCTGTGGGGAACTACAGAGTTAGTGATAACTCAGTATAAGTGACCCCTTTCACATGACAAATAGTTACTGGACCCATTGTTAATGACTGATTAGTCCGGCTTTAAACATGAATTGCTCCACTGCAGCAGTATTATAACGATTATATCATCATTAGCATTATCAGCCTCAAAGAGCAGCCTCTGTTCAACAACTCAGTTCAATTCAATATGCTTTATTGGCGTTATTGAGTGTAACAGTACCTAAACCTTTTAACGTTTTATCTGTTTCTTTTAAAATAGTTAAATTACCTTATTTATTACATTCAGACACTGTTCCTAACTACTGATGATTATTACTTTCAGGTGATTTCCTTCTCTAGTAATGGAATAATACAGGCAGCTTTCAGTTTGTTGACTTCACACAGTCGTGACAAAGGCAGTTTGACATGCTCAGTGCTGATAGGAAATCAATTATTTACTGCATGTCTGTGATCATGACAAGCATAAGACAAATTCATTAACGCATGCAAATTACTTTAATTGCAATTATCTCCATATCTTGATAAGCAAAGAGGGGGGGTCTCCCAATCTCCCTCCATGGTGCAAGTTCCATGCCACACTCGAACCAATCAAGCCTCATCTGCATATCATTAATTAGCCCAACGAATTCAAGAACCAATTAGCAAGACTGCTAAGATACACGACAAGGAGAATAAAAGTTTCAGAGGGTATGACTTACAGTTGGCCTCATGTGTACATACATATACAACAACAGGCACAATGGATGTTTCAGGCGAATGTCAATAACTGTGAGCAGGTCATTAAAGAGTTATAGCAGAATTATAATTACCAAATTTATCTCAGTTACACTAAGATACAGCATCATTACTATGATTTAATGATTGAACAAAAGAGTACTTTAAGTATCAGGACATGAACCAAGACATACACTCATTAGTTCTTGGTAATGGTATTATTTGAATGCTGAATAATATATATTGTACCGTAACAACACATATTTCTCAGGTTCCAATGTGTCCATAAAGTAAACTTCATGGACACATTGGAACCTGAGAAACACAACTCTCTATTGATTACTTTTTAATTGTTAATTCATTTTTTTTTTCTTTTTCATTTTCAAATTGTTGTTATTGATAACTTCTCATACACTTCCTCAATCTCTGACATCCACACACACAAACATCAACACACACCCACAACACACATAAGGTAAAAAATGTTCAACATTTTTTTAGTTAAATTAACTTATTTGGTTTGAACACACACACACACTAGTGATGGGAATTCCGGCTCTTTCTAGAGAACCGGCTCCTTTGGCTCGGCTCACTAAAAAGAACCGGCTCTTTCGGCTCCCAAGTGGCTCCTCAGATTTTTTGTTGCTTAAA